CCTAGCCGTTTTCGGGTATTCGGGTAATTCGGGCACCTCGGGCGGGTCGGGCAAGTCGGGCAGGCGGGAAAAATTCGGGCAAAATTCAAAAATTCGGGCTTCGGGTCGGGCAATTCGGGCACACCCAATTTTCGGGCAATTTTCGGGTCGGGCAGTTCGGGCTTGGTCGGAAAAATGCAAAAAAATCCCGGCGGACGGCGGTATACGGTGGTTAGACGGCGGCGGGCAAGGGTGGACATGTCAAATCCGGGCTGCCCGAGCCCGAACCCGAATTTCTTGCTTGGACGGGCGGGAATTGGGCCGGCCCGCCCGAGCCCGAAAAAATTCGGGCTTCGGGCGGCCCGCCGACCCGAAGTTCCAGCACTAGTAATGTGTGCTTGATTCTCAGTGTGTCGAGGTACTTCCTGTTTTTATGCTTTTCACATACGTTTTATCCACGCTGTGAGATTATATTATATAGATGGAGATGGTCTCCTTTAAAAGGTATGCCTTATATTACTAGGTCATTTACATGTAATCGGTGTTTTATGTTGAATCATATCATTCATTTCATTTTTAAATAATATATATATATATATACATACTACGTGATTGCATTATTTTTTTAATACAAATTCTAACAAAGAGAACTAAATGAAATTAGTTTAAAATTCTAAATGTAAAATTAAAAATTTTAAAATTTAAGAGACAGATCGAAAATTACACTTATTATTTAAGGGTATCCCATACCCGTGAGATTAGCCCTAAATCACAAGCAACATTTTCTCAGGTAAGAAAATAAGTAAAACATTTTTACCCCGAAAAAAAAAAGAAAAATAAAAAAGGAGCAAATAAAAAAGGAGCCCACAATGAAACAAAATCAGTTTAGGAAGAAAACAAAAAAGTTGGGCAATGACACTCCTTCTACAAATGAGTTGTACAACAACAAGAGCGAGTCCCCAAAATCCATTTCCAAACACAAGCGCGTACAAAAAAAAAGTACAACTCAACAACATTAATTAAACATTAAACATTATCATTTAAACAACCGCTGTGATTTTTGGGTCGGTTGGTTCTTCTTTTGTTTCTGATTCTGCCGAAAGAAAGTACAGTAAGACTCTTAACAATATTAAGCGGGTCCATAGCCTTAACCAAAACAAAAACCGTTTTTCCTCTCTCTCTCTCTCTCTCTCTCTCTCTCTCTAACATTGCTCTCTCATGAAGGAAAATATGGATCCCCCACAGGGCCACACCATCATCTCTTTCTCTCTCTAAAATCTAAACACACCCTTCTCTCTCTCTCTCTCTCTCTCTCTCTCTCTCTCTCTCTTGTTTGTGTGTTGTGTCATTTGCTGTTCGTAATACAAACGCAAGACTGAATCTTTTAAAGAGGAGAAAGAGACGTTATTGATTATCTTTTCCTTCCCCGGTGCATGTTTTTGGTTTTCTCTGCAGGTATGGACTTCTGGGTTCTCTTCTGTTTTACTTCTTCTTTATTGGGTCTTGATTTGATTCTCACGTTTTCATGAAATTTTTATCACATAAATACAGAACAATTGTTTTCTGTTTCTGGGCAGTCTTGGATATATATATATATATATATATATATATATTTTGGGATTTGTTTGATGATGTACAATCTGCATGTTTGGTGACAATTCCAGTTCTGCATTTGGATATCTCCCGAAAAGAGTCTTCAATTGGGACTTGAATCTTTGACTTCTATAGGTACAAAATCCTTGGAACTGAATTGATTTTGTGTTGTCAATATTTGTTTGGATGAGAAGAAAGAAAGAGATTAATATTGTCAACTCATTTGTATGATTTAGGACAAAGTTGGTGAATTGAAGGAATTCTTATTCAACCACACTTGTACTTTATTGGTGAGTGCTTTTATTGTACCTTTGTGAGCATGTTTGGATCTGAACATGTACTTTTGGTTCAATCAAATTGATGTTCCTTATAGAATTATTGCTCTTAACATTCTAGATTCTTACTTGGTTGGTCATTGTCTTTGGAACTTGGAAAGACTTGGGATTTATTATTATTATTTTTTACTTGGCAAGTTTGCAGAGATGTCAAGTTATAGTGGTGTTCTTGTTTCCGACCAATGGCTTCAAAGCCAGTTCACACAAGTCGAGCTTCGCAGTCTCAAATCTAAAGTGAGTATTTTGACAAAGATGTTGTAGTGTATATGGGATTTGATGCGAATCTGGTGATCATATATGCAATGCTGAAGTTGATACGTTTGTTCTGGTCTAATGTGCACTTTTTGTGGGGGTTTCAGTTCATTTCAACAAAGAATCAGAACGGTAAATTCACGGTCGGAGACCAGCCGCCTTTAATGGCGAAATTAAAGGCGTTTAGAGAAATGTACACTGAGGATGAGATCAAGGGCATTTTGGGTGACCAAGGTTCAAATTTCAGTGACGAGATTGATTTCGAAGGCTTCCTTAGAGTGAGTTAAAAATCTAAGATTTCTCTGTTCTCTCGGTCATTCATGCTCATTGTGATTGATTTATGAGTTATCATAGCTACTAAAGAAACATGTGAATTGAATTGAAATCGGCATTTAAGGATATCTATAACTAGACAAAGATGGAGATGACATAATGATTGATTGTATTTAATGGCAGGCGTATCTGAATTTGCAAGGCCAAGCTACGGAAAAGTTGGGTGGTCCGAAGAACTCTTCATCATTCTTGAAAGCCACAACAACCACCCTCCTTCACACAATCAGTGAATCAGAGAAAGCATCATATGTTGCTCATATAAACAGTTATCTCGGGGATGACCCCTTTTTGAAGCAATATCTTCCATTAGATCCAGCTACGAATGATCTATTCGATCTTGCAAAAGATGGAGTTCTTCTATGGTACTAACCAATGTTCACGTGATTATTTGCTATAGTTGTGTATATTAAAGCTGATATTTGCTAGTGTAATAATATACGAGTGGATTAATGCAGTAAACTTATCAATGTTGCGGTGCCTGGGACAATTGATGAGCGGGCTATTAACACCAAACGGATTATCAATCCGTGGGAAAGGAATGAGAACCATACTCTTTGCCTCAACTCTGCCAAGGCCATTGGCTGCACTGTGGTTAACATTGGCAACCAGGACTTGGTTGAAGGAAGAGTAAGTTTCAGTAATTTTTCTGTTCATATGAGTTTAAGATCCGTAATTTGGTGATCAGAAGTATTATCTGAAGTTTATTTGATGTTTTGCAGCCTCATTTGGTGTTAGGATTGATTTCCCAAATTATAAAGGTAAGAAGTTAAACTTTAGCATGCCATATGTTATATTTAATATGTTGAAGTAGCTTTCCATCATGGAGATTGATTTATTTCTCTTTCTGTTTTTCTTAAACAAAAACAGATCCAACTGTTGGCAGATCTCAACCTTAAGAAAACACCCCAGCTTGTGGAATTGGTGGATGATAGCAAGGTAATCAAGTTTAGATTTTTTCATTTTTCATCTTTTTTTTCCCGAAAAAGTGAAATGTCAGAATGTAGCTTGTTAAGGATGGCACTCTCTTACCGTAAATCGCCAATATGACAGGACGTTGAAGAGCTCATGAGTTTACCTCCTGATAAGGTCTTATTGAAATGGATGAACTTCCATCTCCAGAAAGCCGGTTACAAGAAAAACGTTACAAATTTCTCTTCTGACTTAAAGGTATTTGTAACTTTATCAATGCTGTTATGAGTTCTGAAGAAGTAGACCAATATTTACTAGTGACAAAATTAACATTGGGACACAACAAATTTCGCCTTCACCTTCATTCCTGTGGATACATCAGAATATATCAACTAAGAGGACATATAAAGTTGGGGTAACATTCTTGCAGAAAACATAGAGTAAAGAACTGCAATAGATTTCATAGTTTTGAATTTTGATATCGTTTTTTTTATGAAATTGTACCATTTTCTTTCCCACTTTTCCCTGTTCAATAAAATTTGTTGCCTTTTCACAAAATAAAGTAAAATTAACTTATTACATGCTGACTCTGCTCCTTATGATTTCCATTTTAATCTTGCTTATGTTTTTGCCGACACATACACAGGATGGAGAGGCTTACGCTTACCTGCTTAATGTCCTTGCTCCAGAACATTGCAATCCAGCCACATTGGATAACAAGGATCCTACTGCAAGGGCAAAATTGGTTCTTGATCATGCAGAGAGAATGGACTGCAAGAGATACTTAACCCCAAAAGACATTGTTGAGGGTTCGGCAAATCTAAACCTTGGATTTGTGGCGCAAATATTCCATGAAAGGTTTGAAACTTAAACTATACCATCTGTCTTCATGTCATATTTTTCGGTTCATAAGTTGACTAAGAGTATGCCTCTTCTACAGAAATGGTCTATCCACAGACAGCAAAAAGATTTCTTTTGCCGAGATGATGACAGATGATGTGCAAACATCTAGAGAAGAGAGATGTTTCCGACTTTGGATCAACAGTCTAGGCATTGCTACTTATGTAAATAATGTGTTTGAGGATGTCAGAAACGGGTATGTTTCGAACATGAATTTAAGCAAGAGCCGTTGGGATGGCATAAGACTCCATTCTCTTTTGCAAGTGATTTTTCACATTTTTCTTCTTCAGCGTACGTATCAGCATGTTTTGTGCTACTGTAATGTTTTATTATTTGATGCAGATGGATCCTTCTAGAAGTGCTTGATAAGGTTTCTCCCGGATTGGTGAATTGGAAGCATGCATCAAAACCACCAATTAAAATGCCATTTAGAAAAGTAGAGAATTGCAACCAAGTTGTTAGAATTGGGAAACAACTAAAGTTTTCGCTGGTGAACGTGGCTGGAAATGACATTGTACAAGGAAATAAGAAGCTCATACTCGGTAAATTCCTATTATATATACCAATGTTTTGACTACATATTTTTTATACTTGGTAAGTTTACTGCATTTTGTCTGTTGGTCTTCTTCCTTTTTTTCCCCCTTTTCTTTTGTGCGTTTTTCAATTGAGAATCTAATTGCTATTTGGTTTCAAATGTAAGTCACTTTTATTCTTATAAAAACTTGTGTTGAAGAGAATTATGTAATACTTAATGGAGAGTATTAAAAAAAAATGCATTTTTATACTCCATACGACCCCGACATAGTACTGAAAGTGATCTAAACTTCTTTTTAGAAGTTTGGGGTTGCTTTTATTCTTTTTCATGAACTAAGCTTACCTGAGTTGGACGCCTCTTTCTATATCGAAGTTCCCAAAAAGATAATGTTTTCTAAATCCTGAATTTTGTTTACCTCTGCAGCTTTCTTGTGGCAGTTGATGAGATTCAACATGCTTCAACTTTTGAAGAACTTGAGATCTCATTCCCAAGGAAAGGAGATGAGGGATTCCGATATCCTCAATTGGGCGAATAGGAAAGTGAAAAGCACGGGCAGAACGTCTCACATAGAGAGTTTTAAGGTTTTTAGACCAAACTTTTTATCATACCATGTTCTGGTTGATTTTATGTTGGTAACAACTAGTCTTTTAACATTGGAATTCTCTTCAGGACAAGAGCTTGTCAAGTGGGATATTCTTTCTTGAGCTTCTTAGCGCTGTGGAGCCTAGAGTTGTCAATTGGAACCTCGTTACCAAGGGTGAAAGTGGTATGTTTCCTTGCATATTGTTATTAGTTTGAATTATACTAGAACAGGGATTTCGCCAGCGGAAAACGTGGTTAAAAAATTGGCTCACCTCTTTTCTTGTTGGAATTATAGACGACGAAAAGAAGTTGAACGCCACGTACATAATCAGTGTTGCACGAAAGCTTGGCTGTTCTATTTTCTTGTTGCCTGAGGACATCATGGAGGTAAGCGGTGCAAATGGAATGACATATTTAGTTGTTCACCTATCTAATTTGATGAACAGAGATAGCTCCATAGATGTTTCTTTTTTGCTTTAGACTAAAGTTAAATTACTTAATTTAATATCACATCATTTATTGGTTATGGCAACTGAATTGGGTAGGAATTCTTTAACATCTCGCCAATATTTTCTTTTTTTAAACACATCAATGACAAAATCAACACGAATGAAACATGCATAGGATGTAAAGAACTATTACTAGTTCTTTTAATATGCAATGAAAGACTTGAATATAACTGAAAAAAATTGTATGGCAGGTGAACCAGAAGATGATTCTCACCCTGACTGCCAGCATTATGTTCTGGAGTCTACAACAGCCAGTCGATGATGCAGACGGATCGATGTCCCCTGCTAATACCAGCGTTACCACTTCAAGTACTCCCGACGAATCCCCTGCACCGTCTATCAGTGGTGAGGACGAAATCTCCTCCTTAGGCGGTGAAATCTCAAACTTTAGCATCGATGATGCTGCCTCCGATACCACCGTCTCCTCCCTGGTTGACAACGAGGGTTCTCCAGTGCCCGAGTGAGCTCAGTAGATTTTGATCTGATCACTTCTCTAGTTTGAGGGGTTAAAAAATGCTCGAGTCATGATATGTGCCCTGTAAACTAAAAAGTGATACCTCTTACCAGAGGTGAAGAAAAAGAGTAGAGAATATTGTAAAAATTTTAGTTGTTAAATAGAACATAGAAGTAGGCTGTTCTTAGATACCAGAAAAAAGTTGACAAAAAAAAAAAAATAATAATAGAATTAGATGTTGGATATTATTTTTTTTCCCCATCTCTTTTCTTTATCCTGCAGCCCTGCTTGATAAAGCTTTCAATGTTTTTTTGGATGTATTCTTTTCACAATTATTAACATTGGTTGATCATATTGAATGAAATAATCAGTACCAATTTTTTTAAAACGAAATAATCGCACCAATGTTTTTGTTAGCATAATGCAATCTTTGTTTTGCCTGGTGACAATCCCTTTGACATGTTCAATGTTACATGTTACCATGCAAGAATGTTCATTAATTAATTTTTGTGTACTTAGTAAACTATCGGGCATTTGATATGATAGCCTTTGATGTGTATTAGGTTTCTACATCGAATCAATTAATTTTAGTTAAAAAATTTTCAGCTTTTTTATGAGAACAGGGGGGAAAAAAAGAATCCAAAGGTTTATTGACTAAAAAAATTTAGAAATGGTACTTTCTTGTTCATTAAATGGTTCTGAAGTGTCCCGCATTGGCTAGAATTGAAAAGTATTTGAAAATTGGAACTTATAAAAAAAAAACACACACAATTATGCATATAGGTTTTGAAGAAAAACCATTCAATAGTATGCCGAATACCAAACACTACATTTTACTCTCCAAACTAAGACTGAAAAATATAGATTCTCAATGAAGCTAAAACCAATGGGGGGGCTAAGAAATTTTTTTTTTTTTTTTTTTTTTCAGAGGAGGCGTAAACTAAAGAAAAATTTTGAACTAATAGTATAGGGCAACAAATTTTTTTTTTAAAACTTTATTTAACTATTTGAATGAAAACTTATTGTAGAGTTGAAATTTTTAATGTTTAAAATTTAGATTCTAAAGATTGTGAATTTATACGGTACTGTAGTTGACTTTTTGTTTACTTGTAATTTTAAATTTACACAACAATACATTTAAAATTCAAAAGTTTAGGGTATAATTGAAAATTTTTAACAGAATGTTGTGTAGAGCAATTGAATATTTTGAGGAGCGCGCGAAAATATTACACACTTTAGAATTGGGCCTAAATTTTAAGAGGAGCCCTTGGGCCCGGGGAGTTAAGGAAGCACTGCCCCCGGCTGGAACCACCATAGACAGAGCACCACTATGCGTGCGTTTGGTAGTGTTTTTTGGAGCTCAAAATTACATATTTATGCATCGTTCATTTCACCAATTTGAGTTTTTAATTTTAAGTTTTTACAGTAAAAAGCTCTCAAAAAATGTCACATTTAACTTTTTCTACTACAGTGAAAAGCTCTCAAAAAATGTCACATCTCAGCTCGAATTGAAAACTCGAATCCGCGAAATGAACGAGGCCTTAGCTATTAGAAGTTGATAATAGTATTTGATAAAAACCATAAAAAGTAATTTTTAAAGAATTTTTGAAGAATTTATAGCCAAAATCAGAAATTCAAAGACAAATTTGACTTTTAGATCATACGAGAATCAGTATAGTACAATTAATGATTATCAACAAAGTTATATTAAATAATTAATAATTAATTACTAATTATATTATATATTAATTAATAATTAATAAATAGATATACTTAATAACTAATAAATATATAATAATTACTTAATTATTAATTAAGTATTAATTTATTACTATTAAGCTTTTAATTTTGTTAATAAAATAATAAGTAATATAGTAATTATTTATTTAGTTAAAGATTAATTGTCAAAAATTAATTATATAACATATTAATAATAAAATAAGTAATAATAGGTTATTAAATAAATAATTAATAATTAATATATCAATCATATATTATGTTAATTATAACTTATTAATTAGTAAATAGTTGGTAAATAAAAAATAAAAAATAATTACTCAATTAATAATTAATATTAAATTATAATAATTAATATGTAATATATTAATCAATAATAAGTAATAATGTTAAATTATAATTATCAACAATAATGTTCTCTCCACTCATGTGGTGGAGAAATGAAGTCTTAAGACTCCTCTAAAAATACAAAGTTTTGACCTTCTCTTCAGCAAAGGTCCCACCAGTGCACACCATCTTTTTTTTACACCAACCATACTTGATCAGCTCAGAAACCCAGACACTGCACACACAAAACATTGTGTATACTTGGTATACCGGTTTCAACTATCCCGAATCACTTAAAGAAATCACATACAACTTCATCAAATGTTTGTGCAGAGAAAATGGATACAAGCCAAAGTCTGCTTTACACAAATATGTCAGTTCTGTAATAGCTCCACCCATCGAGATCTATGGTCCACACAACATCTTCACAGTAAGCAATCTTGGCTCATACGAGACACAACAACCTCCATAGCACCTCCATCATTCCAGAACTCACAAAATCCAGAAGACTATGACCTATCACTATTCTAGGATTCTCAGAACCTAGACTATGACTCATCACCCAACAAGCAACATAGACCCTGGTATTATCATGGATATAGCTCAGTGGACCCTGACTCATTAGATTGGTTCAATCTCAACTTATCTTCTGATCAGAACAGTCATTGAGATCCTATCCTCCAACTGGCATGTAAGTAGTCAAAAATAATTTTATAAAAGTTGCTTTGTAAAAAGGTAGTTCTTATCTTGTAATTATGATATGCTTAGATGTCTCTGCTTAGGTGTCTTGATAAGATTCTTATTTTGTAATAAAGTAGCTTTAGAAAAGATTGTAACATATGTAAAGAAATCTTATCTTATCCTTAGCTTTAGATAAGAAGTCGACACGTGTAAAGGAGGTTAAGCTTATCTCTTGTAATAGTTTGTAAGCTTAGCTATAAATATAGAAGCTCTCCCTCATCAGAGGTGTGAGCAAACCTTGTAAACATTTCTCTTAAGCAATATACTTCCTCTATGAGTTTCTAAAAAGTTCTCTTTTCTCTTTGAAATTCTGAGTTTCTTTTTTTATATCATAATAAGTTCTTTTGACTAGTGTGTTCTGTGCTTGCCTTCAGTAAATGACCATGCACATCAGAAAGTTTAAACCTAAAGATTCTTACTACGATCTCTATAATCACGAGCAATTAAGTATCTGTAACACTAAAAGCTAAAAGTCATGAACACAGTAACTATACAGTGATATAGGTCTTTAGAGTTCATGATTTTTGGAGCTCTTGGCCAGGTGATTTAGTGGTTGATTTTCAAGTAAATGACGGTGGTTAGCGGTTTCACCTTTCTCTCCTAAAACGTGAAGTTCTAAAAAGACAAAAAAGCCCTTTCTTGCTGATTAGGTTCTTTTCTTCTTCCAGTCAACGTCATCGTTTAAAGTTTTCCAGACTTTTCTTGATTTATTATTATTATTTTTTGGTATTGTTCTTTTCGGCTTGAGGAAAATTGATTCAAAGATGCTTTATTCTAACGTGAAGGGGGTATAACTGGAAATATAAAGTTTCATTAATTTACAGCTGCGGCCATTCCACTAAATTTAAAAAACGTTGGAGAGCAATTTCAGCAAAAAAAGAAACCATATTAGCGAGCAGTTCAAATGTAATTTTGCGATTGCGCCCTTATTACCTTCTGTCGGTTTGCCTCTTGGCGGAATTATTCTAGGGTTTTCTATGTAAATATTGTTAAACCCATGGGTTAGATTGGAAAACAAAACTATAAATTTCAATACTTGAAAGTTGAAACATATGCTTAATTATTATTTTTTATTTTTTTAATTTTTATTTTTCCTATTAGGGTTTTCACGTTGATGTGCGTTTGGTTGGTGGATTCGTGTCATGATTCGAATCATAGTTCGTAGTTCGCTACAGTATTTTCTCTCACAAAAAACACACATAAACTGAGAATGATTCTAAATCATGAGTCTGAATTCATAAACCAAACGTTAACGGGAGTTGAAAATGCAACAGCATTTGCAGTAGAAGAGTATAACGAAACTCAGGTATGAATTAAGTTTAGTTGCTGTCAATTAACAAAGCTTGCATCTAATTTGCTATTAAATAAAGAAAATTATTTTATCTATTTTCCAATGATTTTTAGTCGCAACACACACACACACATATATATATATATACACACATGTTAATTAATTCGATTTTGTCTGATCAGTTTGCGGATGTCAAGCTCTAGTACGAATTATGGATCCTGATTAATTTAGAATGTTTGTGAATTGAGGATTGCTCTTAGTGGCGGAGACATTATTTTACATTAGCGGGGCGGGGCGGGGCGTATATTAATTTTTTTTTTTACAATAAATAAGCACAAGAAGTATAAAAATTTGAATGATGATATTTTTCAATAACTGCCAAATACATATATAAGAATAAAGATTAAAAAGTGCATATATGAAAGTATTAAATTTTAGTACGCGTAAAATAAAAATATCATAGGATTTTTAAGAATGAAAATGTAGCATTAAGCGCCGCCCCCACTGAATAAAGAATAATTCCGCCCCTGATTGCTCTTAGGTTTTCTGGAATGTTTGTTCGAATAGAGGATTTGTGTTAGGTTTTCGCCAATCCTCTTTTGATTGGGTTACAAGCAATTTCATGGTTTATGAAAAGAACTTTGAAGAAGTCTATTCTAGTACTATATAGGGAGTTAAAGAAGGCCGTTTATTGTGGTGACTTTTCTCTGGGGTTTGTTTTGAGTTTCGGATAGAGTACTTCTGAAGCGGAACAAAGTCAATGATAATATTTTTACTATTGATAGGAGAGTGGAGACACAATTAAGGCTCACTGATTCTAATTTTTAATTCAAGTTGATATGTGACTTTATGTAAATAGATAACGCGTACTTCATTGTAAAAGTATAAAAGTTGGTCCCGTAATCTATGCAAAAAAAAAAAAAAAAAAAATTTGGTACGTTGCCAGTTTCCATACGCTATAAAAAGGACCTTTCCTATTAAACACATACTCATCACATACCTTCTCTCTCTCTCTCTCTCTCTCTCTCTCTCTCTCTCTCTCTCTCTCTCTCTCTCTCTCTCTCTCTCTCTCTCTCTCTCTCTCTCTCTCTCTCTCTCTCTCTCTCTCTCTCTCTCTCTCTCTCTCTCTCTCTCTCTCTCTCTCTCTCTCTCTCTCTCTCTCTCTCTCTCTCTCTCTCTCTCTCTC